AAATCAAATCAAAAAGAAAAAGAATGTTTAAAGAAAATAAAAGGACATTTTAATGTAAAATTTGTTTATGACTTTCAGTAATACTTTAATATTCACGATAGAACTATAAACAATTTTTAAATGTTTCGTAAATACATTTAAATACTTAAATGTATTGATTTTAATGTTTGAATGTATTGATACGCAAGAAAACACGAAAACAATTGCTATTTATTAGTAAAATATGTTGTTTGTTTTTTTTTAATGAAAGAAAATTTTATTGTCAAACGATTGAGTTGCTTATTTTGCAATCATTAATTGACATTGTGAACGAGTGTTAATATATAATAATGTCCCGAAGGAACTGTTTTTGTAACAATGACAACAGAAACAATGCAATTATTTTTTTAACTTCTTTCGTAATTACAAAATTATGCAATTGAATAATTTCAACATAATAAAAGGCGAGCATTGACTCAGTATAATCAGTTTAGAATAAGTCGAGAAAGAACTTTTTTCACATTAAAATTTTGTTATGTTTAAAATCTTAGATAATATATTTAATAATTAAAACAGCAATTTATTTTCTTGTCCAAGTATTGGGGAATAAAGTCATTGCCTTTGCATAAACCTTCGTAAAAACTAAATTAAATGAAAAAATTTAACCAAATTTGTCTAGCGTAAATAATGAATAAGTTTTTTAATACATTGTCTGATAAAGTTCGTGAATAAATTACGTATCAAGTCTTTTTATTTTCGTGAAAACTTTATGACTTATCATCGTCTTTTCCTTGACTTGTATCAAATTTCGTAGCTGAAAATAGCAACCCTAATAAAAGAAAACAACAGTATAAAAATTTTGAAAAAAGTGTTCAAGACTTTTTTTTTTTTGTTACAAGAATTTTTTTTTTTTTTTAATTTTTTATTTATTATCAAAATATTTTTCTTACATCCAATTTCAATTTTATACTTTGTTTAGACTTCGTTTCATTTTTTTAATATTATTTTTTATTCTCTGTGGATAATTTCCGCTTTCTTACGAAATATTGCCGCGGTCACATTTTCTGAAAAATTTATTCTATGCGTGGACAAACAAGGCGTGCGACCGCACGCCTTTCCTGGGAAAGCCTGATATATATATATATATATATATATATATATATATATATATATATACAAGCAAAAAAAAAAAAAAAAACAGTTTAAAGTCTACAAATAAAAAGAATGATTTTCCTTTTCTTAACTTTTTTTTAAGAAGACAGCAAAAATATAAATTGCAATGTGTTTGTAAAATATATTTGTATAATTTTAATGTAACAACAATAATGATGTAATAACTTGGGTTGAATTAAACGAATGCGAAACGCAAAATCTGGAAAAATATCTAGTATTCAAAATTTTAGTTTATACAAAACCGTGTTCCTTGTTATTAAGGGGCGAATAAGCTTAAATTTTGTTATATTTTGTAAAACAAAACAAAAACAATAAACTTATGACTACAAAAGTAATAACACTTTAATCACAAACTGCATTATAAAAGTAATAACACTATAATAGTTATTACCTTTATAACGCACTTTATAACTTTTAAAATTCTTTCTTTGTTCAAGCAACATAAGTATTCCCAAATCTTAATTGAAGTAGAAAACTATCTAGAAGAATAAAATAGATGTTCAAATAATATTAAAAGCTTAAATAACTTGTAATAATGTGACAAACAACTTTATAAAAATGTAAGGTATTAAAAGTTTAGCATTATGAAAAACGTTACTAATGGACCGTAAAAAAGCACTTTAATTTTTTAATAGTTGATTTTAAGATTAACGCTCGTTTTTATGTAACGTTTTTCATAATGCTATACTTTTTATAAAATACTCTTTTAAAACGTTGTTTAAGTGATCTTTAAAAGTTCCTGAAATTTTTAATAATATTTGAATATTCGCTTTATTTTTTCTAGATGCTTTTTTACTTTAATAAATGTTTGGAATTAATAATGTTGTTTGAACAAAGAATGAACTTTAAAAGTAATAAGTGCTTTATAAATGTAATAACACTATTATAGTTTTATTACTTTTATAATGCAGTTAGTGACTAAAGTGTTATTACTTTTGTAGTCGTAAGTTTATTGTTTTTGTTTTGTTTTTTGTAACTTTCTTGCTAGCAAACTTTTAATAATTTACTCCTTGTAAACTAAGTACACAGCTTTGCATGAACTAAAAATTTAAAGACCAAATATATTACCAGAGCCACTAAGAAAAAAGACAAGACGAAAAACTGCACGCCTTTCCTGGGAAGGAAATATATATATATATATATATATATATATATATATATATATATATATATATATATATATATAATATATATATATATATATATATATAATTATATATATTATATATATACCTATAAAAACCTTTGTTCAAAATTTTATAATTTTTTTTATTGGTATTTTTATTAGCTCATTTTGGAACATAGCTGAGTTATTGTCTCCTAAAGAAACTGTTCAAATGATTTACAGGTATATTTTTATTTTTATGGTTGCCAATAAAAATATAAAACAAGTTAAACATTTAAACAATTTTATACATACATATCTATATATGTATATACATATATATATATATATATATATATATATATATATATATATATGTATATATATATATATATATATATATATATATACATATATATATATATATATATATATATATATATATATATATATATATATATATATATATATATATTATATATATATATATATATATATATATATATATATATATATATATATATATATGTATATATATGTATATATATATATATATATACATATGTATACATATATATATATATATATATATATATATATATATATATATATATATATATATATATATATATATATATATATATATATATATATATATATATATATATATATATATATATATATATATATATATATGTATATATATATACATATGTATACATACATATATATATATATATATATATATACATATATATATATATATATATATATATATATATATATATATATATATATATATATATATATATATATATATATATATATATATATATAAAAGAACAGCAAAAATAAATTAATAGAAAATCACTTAACAAAAATGTTTCATTTAACACTGTGTTTCATCAATAAAGACTCATCAGAAATGAATGATCAAGTTAATAAAACTTCAATTTATACCAAACATTAATTTACAGGAAATTGTATATGTCTTAACTAGTGTAAATTTCCTTACATTAGTAGAATATGTTAATACTATTATAAAAAGAATTCTTTAGAATTGATTACTTCTTCAAGAGGTTCCGAGTTCGATTCCCACCATGTCCCTGGTAGTACCGCTCTCAACTTGTTTCTCCTCGCAGCGGCCTTGTTCGTCAAGCTTCGTGTTTCGGAGAGGGTTATAATTACAAGTAGCCTTCTCATCTGTAGTGGTCTTCTCAGTCTTGGGGAGGTAAACTACAAATAAAAAAAAAACCCAAAAACTTATGCTTTTTTATAAAAATATTTTTTATAAAGGGGTATTTAATGTAATTATTATTTGAGCTCACTTATTTTTATAGTTTTTTTAGGAGAAACTTGTTTTTAAGCCTGCATTTAGAAATCTATTCCAATTTTTTGTTAAATAAACATTCGTTTGCATGTGTAATTTTCTCAAATTTTTCTTGTAGACAGTATGCATTTTTTGAAAATATTGTTATATGCAGGTGCTGTTTTAAAGATGGTATAAAATTCAGTATAAAATCATCAATATTTTCTATCTTTTAATTCCCATATGTATTTTAAAAGCATAGTGTCTTGTGAAAACATATTTATTTTTAAAACATTGCTTATCATTGGCACTTTATTTTTTTACCATTCACTTTCTGTTAAGTCATATTGTTTATCAGTTATATTCTTAGACTTTATTTTAATAAGGAAACTTGGAAAAATATAAAAATACATGACTGTTTTGATGTAACAATGGGCAGTTATGATGGAGCAGAAATTTGTAAATCTTTTGAACTATACATTTTAGATTTATTAAGTAAAATATCTATATTTATGACTTAGGCCTTTATCGTGACAATGGTTTAATAGTAATGTGTAAAAAATCTGGTCCACAGCTTGGTCAGACAGACAGGTCAATAAAATTAGAAAAGATATAAAATTTTTTAAAAATATTGGCTTTCAAGTCAAAACAAGCATAGATTAAAAAATTGTGAGTTTTCTTTATGTCATATTTAACCTCTTATAAGTCTTTCAAAAAACCAAATAATGAATTATTGTATATATATATATTTTTTTTTTCATTTGCATTCACTCCCAACAAGGCTGCAAGCAACCACTATTAAGTTGGGAGTTACTAGGAAAAAAAAAGAACAGAGTTATAGAGCAAGGAAACGGTTGACAGAAGACTTAAAAAATTGAAGGTTGTATGTGTCAGGAAAACATGAAGATGGGAGAGAGTTCCAAAGGATTGAAGTGCGGGGAAAAAAACTAGATGAATAAAAGTTTTTAGAGCATGCAGGGACAGATACAGAAAACGAATGAGACTTAGCTGAATGACGAGTAAAACGAGAATGAATTTTAGTTGATGGAACTAGAGATGATAACTCCTTTGAGCAGTGACCATGATAGTATCTGTAGAAAAGAGAAAGAGATGCAACTTTACGACGATGGGAAAGAGGTTCAAGCTTAGCAGATAGTCCAGGTCCAACAACATTTACAATGCGTTTTTGGACCTTGTCAAGAAGAGAGAGTGAATCGTTAGAAGAACCAGCCCAAATATGACAACAGTATTCCATACAGGGACGAATAAGAGATTTGTAGAGGTAGAGAATGGAATCAGAAGTAAGGAAATGGCGAGCACGATAAAGAGAAGCAACCTTAGCAGAAGCTAATTTAGCAATCGATTGTATATATGGTTTCCATGAAAGGTCAGTAGTAAGCGATAATCCAAGAAGATGTAAAGAGGACGACTCAGTAAGAGGATTGCCATTCATTAATATAGGAATGTTGACCATATTTTGGTAGTTGTTTGCAGTAAGCAATTGGGTTTTTTTAGAGTTGAAATTCACAAGCCACTGTGAACCCCAATCTATTATTGAAGTGAGATCAGATTCAAGATCAGCTGCTTGTTCTAGGCGATCGAAAAGAGAAGACTTTTTGTCAAGACAGGAGTATAAAGTTGAGTCATCAGCAAAAAGAGCTACTTTAGATGAAAGGTTGTCAGGAAGATCGTTTATGTAGATAAGAAACAAAACAGGGCCCAGGATGGAACCTTGGGGAACCCAAGAAGTTACTGGAAATAAAGAAGAGTGTTGGCCTTCAAGGATGACTTTAATAAACCGGTCAGAAAGAAATGATTTGATTATCTCAAAAACTTTCCCAGAAACACCATATGAAGCAAGTTTATGGAGAAGACCAGCATGCCAAACTTTGTCGAAAGCTTTAGATATGTCGAGAGCAATAGCCCTAGCCTCACCGCCTCCATCTAATGCACGATAAAATCTTTCAGTTACAGCAGTTAGCAAGTCGGCCGTAGAGCGAGAGGATCGAAAACCGTATTGATTGTCTGACAGCAGTTTATTTGACTCAAGATGAGATGTGAGGAATTTGTTGATTAAAGACTCAAAGACCTTGCTAATAACAGAAAGAAGACTGATCGGACGATAATTAGAGGGGTCAGAATTTTCTCCAGAGTTTTTGAATATTGGAACCACAGATGCCATTTTCCAACAAGCAGGAAAACAAGACTCAGTCAAACACTTGTTAAATAGTTTAGAGAGAATTGAAGAAAGTTCTGGAGAACAATTCTGCAAGACTGTGACAGGAATGTTGTCTGGACCACAAGCTGTAGACGAGTTTAATTGAGATATGACTTTAGCAACAGAAGCCGGAGTGATTTGAATGTCTAACAATGGGTCAACCTGTTTGACTGGAATGGAAGGAAGAGAATGTCCATAAGATTCAAGAGTGGAATTAGAAGAAAAGTTCTTTGCAAACAGTTCTGCCTTATCCCTGGGAGAGGTAACAAGATCAGTCCCATGAATGAGAGATGGAATGTTAGATCTACCCTTGTTAACAATGCTGTTGAAGATTTTTCAAAAGTCTTTAGAGCCTAACTTCTGCGATAAGATGCGAGATTTAGTGAACTGAGAATAATGGAGTTTAGCATCAGAAAGCACCTTTTTACATCGATTTCTTGCAATAATAAATAATATTAATATTAACTCAAATCATCCACCCCAATTTCTAAAACAAATTTCAATTTCAAATAATAATAAGCTAAACAATAACTCCTCTAATAAAAATGTATTTAATTTTTCTAAACAAATTTTTGAAAATACCCTTAAAAAAAGTGGTTTCTAAAATTTTGAACTAAAATTTGACCGTGAAAAGAATACAAAAGAAAAAAAGAATACAAAAAAGGGAAATAGAACTAGAAATGTAATTTAGTTCATCCCCCCATAAAGCAAAAATGTTTTCACTAACATAGGAAAAGTGTTTTTAAAACTAGTCTCAATAAACAATTCCTGCCCTCTGATAAATTACATAAAATTTTTAATCGAAATACAGTTAACACTTTACAGGTCAGGGTTGCTGTATGGCAACAAATAGTTTAATGTTACTTAAATTGTATAAATTTTTATCTAGCCCGGATGTACTTGATTTAATACGGTATTTAGACTATGCTGATACAATTAGTAAACAAAGATTGCAGTTTAGAGGCATTTTTATGAGAACTATTGCCTAGATAGTTGCTTTATTTTTTGGAATGAAATGGGTACCTATTTTAGGCCATCAAGTGGTGTCAGAACTTTTAGTTTAATATTATATTTATAGTGAATGATAATTATAAGAAGTTGTTCTGTATTTTTACATCATTTATTTATAAACTTTAGCTGTATGATGCATAACTTCATAAAAAATATTTTGTTGCCATACTGCAACTTGGTCCAGTCTCATGGATATATTTTGTATCAAATCTTATTTTAGATATATTGCTACTTTATATCTTTGAAGTAGATAATATTCCCATTTCCTATGTTTTTACTAATTTACGAGTTTCGGTAGCGATCTACAGAACCGCAACCAATCAATTCAGAATTTATGGAAGAACATTTTGCATTAGCTCCCCATGATTTTACTAAACTTACACCTTTTGATTATTATTCCCAGTTCTGGACAAAAGAAATAACAGAATTAATTGTAGAACAAACAAATCTTTATAGTACCCAACTTTCTGGTAAGCCAATAATCACAAGTGTTAATGAAATGGTTCAGTTTATGGGAATGCAAGTGTTGGGTATTTTAAACCTGCGAAACAATCTTTTGTACTGGATGAATAAAATCAGAATTAATACAATTGCTGATGTAATGATAATTAATAGGTATAAAGCCTTAAGAAGATATCTTCATGTAGTTGACAATTCCAAAAAAAAAAAAGCAGATAATAAGAATGATAAACTTTTCAAAATTAG